AGCCGATAATTGGCAGAATATCTATCGCATCTAAATTTCACAGACTGGTGATGACAAACACAAGTACGAGTGTATTTGGCTGTGCGCTCATCAAACATAATGCTTTTGTTGCTCCATTGGTGCATTATGAAAAGGCTTGATTGCAGTGGCAGTGGATTAAAAAAAACTGATGAAAATTTACGAGATGGTTCTACCGAATTATAAAATAATTTTTATTTAAAATAAAAATTATTGTTTTATAAAAATTAAATTATTTGTTAAAAAATAGTTGTTAAATAAAAATTATTTATTTAAAATAAAAATTATTGACTGATATTCTCGGTTTCGCAAGCAGCTCAAGTGGCTCACAATTTGACTTCGTAGGAACACTCGATTGTAATGTCTCCTCACATCTAAGCCACCTTTCTAGCCTGCCTAGGCGATTTTATTTCGCCCATCCTTCGGATGAGCCATGTAGATCCCTTGTCAAAACTCTTCTTGACTTTCCCGTCCATAATTCCCTTCTCTTCCTCACCTGGTTTTTACTCCTACTACTTTTCTGTCCATGCGGTTATGATATGGAATTCCCTACCGCCTCACATAGAGATTCTGAAACTTTATTAGTATTTAAGAAATGTGTGTGCGAAGTGTAGGGCGTCCCCCCACGAGATGGAGTGACGACCTGGTAAGACATGCAGGAAGTCGATGGATGCAGGTGGCTCAGGACCGTGTTTTGTGGCATTCTTTGGGGGAGGCCTATGTTCAGCAGTGGACTTGTGAAGGGCTGTAATGATGATGATGATGAAGAAATGTGTAAGAGATAATTACTTTGCATCTCTTTAATCTTTATATATAAAAATTACGTGTCACGTTGTTTGTCCGAGATAGACTCCTAAACTACTGAGCAGATTTCAATAAAAGTTTGCACACTGTGTGCAGTATGGTCCAACTTGAGAGATAGGATACTTTTTATCCCATTAAGTGACCTTCAATATTTTTTATTGCAAATTTAAGGATTTTTTCATAGGAAGGGTCGTCGGAAAGGGCAGAACAACGTCTGCTGGCCAGCTAGTTTATATGTATTTTTATATTATATTTAAATATATCATATATGCAATTATCGTATATATTATTATTATTTATTTATTATAGTTTATATAATGTTGTGTATATTATGTATTCTCTAGAAATGAACGCACTAAGTTTGGCTTTTGTAATATAATATTTTCCTGTAAGATATTTCAAAGATGTGTACTGGAAGATATTTCACAAAATTATGGAATAAGTAGAGTCTTTCTACTAACTCACATCGTGAATGTTTCTGTCTTGTTGTGTGTACATAAATATATAAAAAATAAAATAAAAATTAGAAAAACCCAAAATTGCACGTCTCATGAGTGTTTCACTTAATTTTGATGAAAAAAAAAAATAGTGATGATAATTTTTACAAGAAAGAAAACAGAATCTGATCGACTTTCATTAATAACTATTAAACGGTGTTCAATAACAAAAATCAATAGGGATCTCCTTAAAATATATGGAATCTTATTTAACGCTATATATGATCTCAATCTTTTGTTTACATTTCGCACTGACCAACGGACGGTGGGCCATATATTTTTTCAATAACATTTTTTATTATGTAATCTAAAGTGAATCAATAAGAAAATAAACTAATCTTATAATTCAATGTATGTAGTTATTGTAACGTTAATAAAAATATGGATTGGATGTCTAGCTAAAAGTATAAGTACGATTTTGTATAGCGAAATTGAGGTATGGCCACATGTCAAGAATAGAACTCTTTCACGTATTAAGGCGTGCCGTAAAAAAGGTGAATTATAAAATAAGAAAAATCTAATATAAAATAATGAACGATTTGGTGTTGATTTTATAAACCTCATCACTCTTTCAACTTTGGGGAATTCTCAAGACCTTACTTGGAGGTTGTATCAAATTTCCCGCGTTTGTTTTTTGTCAATTACCTACTTCGTGAATCAAAGGTTGCTGTCGCTTTTCTGCCGACTTCCAAAAAGGAGCCGGTACTCAATTCGACTGCATGTTTTTTTTTTTCGTTTTTTTTTTATGTGTGTTACCTCAGAACTTTTTTCTGGGTGAACCGATTTCGATGATTCTTTTTTTATTTGAAAGCTGGTACTTCTCGTGTGGTCCCATATGAATTTGATCAAGGTCAGACCAATAGTTTTTAAGTTATTCTTAAATAATTTATATTGAAGTCGGCTGTACAAAATTTTTAATTTTAAATTATATAATCTTTAAATTCACAAAAGTAAACTAGTTGTACAGACAGAATTAAAACGCTAATTATGTGACTTTTAGTGTCTTGACAAGATATCATATTATATGTACGAACTCATAATCTAAAAATATCTTATAATTTTTTTTAATTTAATGAATGTATACTACTTAGAGCACGTAACTGAATGACATTGTTATTTAAATTATGAATTCTAAATTTAAATTCATTTTGCCACTACTGATTGATTGATATTTATGCATACGTATTAGAAAATGAACATTTTATTATTATTTGATATTGTATAATGATATTAAATATATGCCCAGATGTGGGCCGAATATATAGGCTACGACGACGAATATATAGTACCTTTAACTGTAATTTTAACATAAAATTTTATCTCGTTTGCATAATGGGCGCCGGAAATATAATAAAAGGTAAAGGTAAAGGACCCATTCAAAATAGCTTACAAAAGTGAATAATATGAAATAGGCTGCGATAAGTATCAGTCACACAATCATCATCATCATCATCATCATCATCATCATCATCATTACAGCCCTTCACAAGTCGACTGCTGAACATAGGCCTCCCCCAAGGAATACCACAAAGCACGGTCCTGAGCCACCTGCATCCATCGACTTCTGCATGTCTCACCGGGTCGTCACTCCATCTAGTGGGGGTCGCCCTACACTTCGCCTACCGGTACGAGGCTGCCACTCGAGAACCTTTCTTCCCCATCGGTTGTCGGTTCTTCGAGCTATATGGCCGGCCCACTGCCACTTCAGCTTACTAATCCGTTGGGCAATGTCGGTTACTCTGGTTCTACTGCGGATATCCTCATTTCTAAGTTTATCACGCAGAGACACCCCGAGCATAGCCCTCTCCATAGCTCGCTGAGTGACCTTGAGCTTCCTCATACGGCCAGCAGTGAAGGACCAAGTCTCAGATCCGTAATTAATTACTGGCAACACGCACTGGTTGTACAATTTCGTTTTAAGGTTTTGAGATATGTCTAACGAGAAGATGTGTCGTAGTTTCCCGAACGTTGCCCAGCCGAGTTGAATCCGTCGATTGAACTTTCGGTCGAAGTTGGACTTACCTAGTCGGACTATTTGTCCCAGGTAAACAAACTTCGAGCTTAGTGATCCCAACAACTACCGGCATAGGTGTGACATGGACGTTAAACATGATTTTTGTTTTGTCCATGTTCATCTTAAGACCTATCCCTTGGGAGACACTATTGAGGTCATTGAGCATAGTGCTTAGGTCCTCCAGCGATTCTGACATAAGGACTATATCGTCGGTAAATCGAAGGTGAGTGATGTACTCGCCATTGATGTTAATACCGTATCCTTTTCAGTCCAGTACCTTGAAAACGTCTTCCAATGCAGCGGTGAAGAGTTTCGGGGATATATCGTCACCCTGTCTTACACCTCTCTGCAGTTGGATAGGTTTCGTACTCTGATTCTGTGCTCGGATAGCCATCGTAGCTCTAATGTACAAACACTTTAGCACTTCGATATACCGACAGTCAACTTGGCACCGCTGAAGGGACTGCAACACCGCCCAAATTTCGACGGAATCAAAGACTTTCTCATAGTCACACAATATCTACTCGTCATAATCGTTTTACCACTATTGTTTAAAAAATATTATGCTGTACCTACACCCAAAGACCATACTAAATATAAAATTGATTAAAAAAATATGTTGTATGTACTTTAAAACAGCAATTACAATATTGTACAGAGGAAAACGAATTTTTTTTCGATGCTCGTCTCCTTCCGCTAAAGGCCAATTCACTAGCAAATAAACGATATTCAAATCACGTCCATTTGACGAGACAGGGTGCTATAGTCGAAGGTTCTTTGTTACGTTGTGTACTATATCAATGAGAACCTTCTACTATTAAACTAAATACTAATAGCACGAAATTAGTTAAATGTTAGGTACTATATTAGCCTATATCGGTCACTAAGCCCCAGGTCAATAGTTCACCGTTGAGCAATTTACTACACTGCGTTATTACATTGGTTATTACCTTAGAGTATATAATTACAGGTTATTGCCGACCCATTGCATTTCGCTTACCGATTCTCTGGGCTATGTCAGTACCTCTTGTTCTACTGCTCTGTACCGCAGTTGCTAAACGTTTGATTATAGCTTTGTGTGACAGCAGGTTTGAGTAGAGAGAGAAACCTTGTTTGTAACAATGCTTGTATGGTCTAAAATTATTATTTGCTTTTATAGAATGACTTATTTTTGAAAGATAAGCGCTAGCCTGAATTTCATATTACACCAGCAATCATCATCATCATCATTATAGCCCTTCACAAATACAATACTGAACATAAGTTGTGCTAATACACTATCTATTTCCTTACTCCATAATCACGTCCGATCGACATGGCCGGAGGAAAGTCGGACAACGGATCAACGGCTTTATGTGCTCTCAGAGGCATGGGGGACGGAGGTGAAACACGACCAATTTCCTGATTCCGGGCTACCGATACTGTCTAGACAGAAACACCCAATAAATGATTTTGGTACAATCTGAGACTCGAACTAGAGACAACACGATCAACAGTCGTGCTAACAACAATTAGACCAACGAGGCTTTCGAAATATGTAGTAATGACCCCTCGTCTCATGACCCATCACTAATGTAGTAATGACCTCTCGTCTCATCAGCCATCACCAAACCTCATTTTATAGGATGAATAGGACTAAAATAATGATTTATAAATATTTTTTGTAGGATAAAGTGGTGTGGAGAAAATGTGAATGACATAACGATGGGGCTATCGCGCGCTGCTAGGCTGTTAGGTCACGTACAATACTTTAAACACTATCGCGAACTGCAGCCACTGTACCGTGACGGACCTAATCCAGGTAAGATTCGATTTTACATGAAATATTTTATTAATTATGCATTGGCGACGTAAGAATATCCACTACCCTATATCACCCCGTAAACGTCGTGAGAAGCGACAGAAGGAAACTGAAAAAGTTCAGACACCAGCATCATCCTGATAAAAACCGTAAATAAAAAAACAGCGGGTACTAACCTACCAAGCGTACCAACTATGCCAAAATCCCACCTATGAGTCAATCTTTGTAGGAAGCCGATGTTCAACAGTGGATTTTTGATTTTTTAATTGCCAAAAGGCAATTAAGTCCGCCCTTTGTAATCCTTTTAAATATCACCCACATGAGATAATATATGGGGAGGGTTTTGTTTAGCATTGCATACATGCATAATGAATGAATGAATTGTTGTTATTGTTTATATATATACCGTGGTAACCGAATGATAGCACAAACTCTCAGAAATCCATAAGAACATATACATAATAACATATACGTGTTAGAGTCATCCTGATACATAGTAGAGCCATGTTGCAGCTATATTAGTAGTATAGTTGTAGCACGAAGGGGTCGGCTCGACCGGGGAAGGACCACGCTCTCACAGAAGACCAGCATAAAATAGTAGTTTAATACTGCTGTGTTTCGTATGGTGAGATAGAGAACCAGAGACCCTTTTTACTGGAAAACAGGCATTCCATCTTAGTCATCACGGGTGATAACACAACTGCATTTTGTTTCTTTATTTAGGATAAATGGAGATGTCTCAGGGTCACAGCAACCACCCACCATCAGGTGGACTGTGTGCTCGTTTGTCACCCTATCCTATATAAAAAAAGAACATGGAACACAGCGTCAACGATTTGAGTGGGTGGTTTGCGGAAAATAAGGTGGGTTAATACAGAATAAGAAGCATGGGGCATTAGAGTTGATGAGGATTCTATTCCATAACCTCATAATGAGGAAGTTCGTGAATATATTATCATGTACACTTGCATATCCTCTTCCTATTACGTTTCCTCATTATTAAAAGAAATTTACGTCGAAGTGCTAACTATTCTACAGACAGATCTTCACACTCGATATTACCTTTTCTTTTTATTCTTTTTTAAATAAACGTTACCCCCACACTAGGATTTTATTCTGTATCATGGAGGCAGTTTACAAACACAAATTGCACAAGGACAAACATCCAGACCCGGAACAATTATTTGTAGGCCATGCAAATACTTAGGCCGTGCGGGATTCGAACCCGCGGCCCCAAGCGCAGCAACTCATTGCTAAGCCACTGCGCCACGGAGCCGTCAAAACAGAAATGCTAGCTTCTTCACTTCCTAAAATTGACAATGAATTAGGTACAATCGCATGCATCGATAGTTTAGTTATTCTAAAGTTACTTATATAATATATAATTATAACAAGACAAAGGAACACACACAAAATCGCTAACCATATAGTGGTGGTACAAGAGTATATACTACATTCGCTTGAAATGCTATTAAACGACTATGTCAAATATCAATATGAGGCTGTCTATGTGGGAAGCTTATGTTTAGCAGTGGACTTTAATACTCTGAACGGTAACAAGAGAAAGGGTCTTCATTTTTGTGGTGGAATATGAACTTGTACGTATACGGAACTGTGCGCCCATATCTTTCTACCACGCCATCAAGTGTTCCTAGCGTGCACCTTTTCTGTTACGCTAGACAAAAAAGTTACTGTTATAAAATTTAATCTCTTTGATATAAATTATTAAATTGTTTTTTTTTTCTAAAATTAAAGAGCCCACACGTTGTCCTTCTGTATTTCTCTTCCATATCATCTTCTCCATCCTTTTCCTCCTCATCATATACTAATCCTCATTCACATTCCCTTCTATATAACCACTTCATCAAACCTATTGGACATTATGTACTGTAAATAATAATGTCCTCCAGACCGAATTTCTGTCACGGCGGCCAGTCTCAACGGAGACTATCCATCAGCGCAGAACAGGATTATAGTGCACGAGTGCATGCGCAAGCACAGGTGCACTCTCAATTCCCTCACTCTCATAGTCCGATGGGACGGTCAACCGACACGACCGGAGAGAGATCAGGCGCAGGAGCAACGGCTTTACGTACTTTCCGAGGCACGGGGGTGAGACACCGCCAACTTCCTGACTCCGGGCAGCTACTGAGAATTTCTTGATGCAAAAACTCAATAAATGATTTTTTTGGCCCGACCGGGGTTCGAACCCGAGACCTCATGATCAGCAGTCGCACTACTACAACCACTAGACCAACAATGCAGTCAAACTGTAAATAGCAGAGTTTCGTATATTATATTATTTTATGGTTGTTTCTTGATAATAGTTTGATCAACATCCTACGGAATTTCACAATAAAAAGAAACATCAGGCTTAATCTAGGTTACAGCCTTTCAAAAATCATGTAATAGTGAACAGAGTTGACCGGCACTTGAGTACTTGGTTTGCGTAATAACAAACATAATATTTGCAACTTGATAAAGTAATCATCCGTTTAGGTTGTCAGTATATGCCAAATATTTTTTATGTAACGACGTGCAAACTATACCTCAATTTTATACACAGAACATAGAAGTCACGGACATATTTTAAGATAATAATATCACTAAAACATCATCATCTTCATTTGTGTGTCGATCATGTGACAACATAAATTCGCTGCTAGTATGAACGTTAAACAAAAAAGATGATTTACCGACTTAATAAGTGTTCTGTAAAAAAGTTTGAGTCTTACGCAATAAATACCTGAATCCGTAAAATAAAATTATCTTGGATAAAACTATTTTTGTGTTGTTCGCGCAAATATAAGAAATCATTATAAAATCATCTTGTTTAAAAGATTTATGCATATCTAGAATGCATCTTACTAGATGCAAATGCTATGTGCTAAATGCTTTGTATAATAATTTACTTATTAACACATTTCATTTATTAATTAATAAATTATATAAAATATATTAATTAATAAATGAAATGTGTTATCCTTTTGTGATTTTCAATTTTGTACACCTATTCATCGTATTCGCTTAATGTTACACTTACCCTTTATATAAAGATTATGACAATATCTAATCTTTCCTCAGCAGTTAAATATTTTGCTTGCAATTTCAAACGATCGTTTCTATGTCAATCGATCGAAATATTTCTGATAAATATCAGTTTTTGTTTATTGTAGGCAATTAATAAATAATAATTGTCAATTATTTTTTCTTGTATCTATTGTCTACTTAGTTTCAATTATTATTATAATTAACAATTACGTTATTAATATATACCGGATTCAAAAAGGAAACAGTATCGATGCGACAGCTGTCCTTTTTCTGCCGACTTCCAAAAAGGCGACGGTACTTAATTCGACTGTATGTTTTTTTATGTGTGTTACCTCATAACTTTTTACTGGGTCAACCGTTTTGGATGATTATTTTTTTATTTGAAAGCTGGTACTTTTCGTGTGGTCACATATGAATTTGATCAAGGTCAGACCAATAGCTTTTGAGTTATTCTTAATAACTGATATTGAAGTCGGCTGTACAAAATTTTAAATTTTAAATTATTTCTTTGTACTATTTAACATATTAGGTACCTATATAGGATGTTAGTTAACCTACTTTGCTTTTTATTTGTTATCAGAATAGTATATTTTCACAGTCGTCCCATGACTGGTTCAACTAATTCCAGTAAAAAAAAAAATGGTTATATTCTTTAAAAAAAATCCATTTCTGAATACCCATTTTGCACAAACTTTATATAACTTTAACTTGCAGCGTTCCACGATGCAATCTCCGACATCGTCGCGGTACAGCTGACCTCGCCAACTCACTTACAAACCTTGAACTTCGTGGAAGTCGATAATGGCCCTGAAGCTGACATCAACCATTTGCTTTGGCTCGCATTGGAGAAACTTCCACTTGTTGCCTACGCTTATATCCTCGATAAATGGAGATGGGATATTTTTGCAAATTCCAGTTTAGAGAATTGGAATGAATATTGGTGGGAACTAAGGTAATTCATTTATTTTGTAATATCATTCCAGATTAGACTACTTAATTTTTTTTTAAGTATTACTGTTAATACTTCATTAAAATTTTAATTAAAGCTACCAAAAATGGTAATTTAAGCAGTAAGCGTCATTTATCGTTAACCGTACAGAAGACTATGTTCCTTCTTAACCAGGTAGGTTGATATATACATGCCAATTTCTGTCGAAAATAGGACTATGAAAGCTTTTCTTAGCTTATTTTTATTAAAAAACAAGCTGGTACCCGGCGCGTTGCTGTCGCAGAAGAAATAATTGCGGAAATATCGTTTTAAATTTCGAATAGTTATATTGTTTAATTGGGAATGATAAAACATTCATTGAAGTTGAATGATTCTACGTGGTAGAGCCATGCTGCAGCTATATTATGGTTGTAGCACGAATGGGTCGGCTCGACCGGGGAAGGACCACGCTCTCACAGAAAACCAGCGTAAAATAGCAGCTTAACGCTGCTGTGTTTCGTATGGTGGCTGTAGAGAACCGGAGATCCTTTTTACTAGCAAAGAGGCATTCCATCTTAGTCCTCACGGGTGACAACGCATCTGCATCTTGAGTCTTTATTGAGGATAGATGTAGATGTCTGTGGGTCACAGTAACCACTTACCATCAGGTGGACTGTGTGCTCGTTTGTCACCCGATCGTATAAAAAAAAATACAATTTTCGAATAAATATGTCGGTACGATACGCGCGATACGATAGTGTAAGATAATTGTATTATGCCTATAACCTTTGCGGAAGTGCATGCAATATGTTAACATAGTTTTATCGCAATCTGATGAAGGGTATGGCATACAATACGAACAAACAAAAATTAATTTTTATATATTAGATGTAAATAAGCAAAATTTTAATGTATTTCTATACATATATCAGCTTCATCATTATTACTACTACGAGTCCACTACCGAACATAGGCCTGCCTCATATATTGCCTTGGTCTTGCGTTACCTGCATGCTTTATCAGATAGTCACTCCAAGTATTTGGGCCCAACTACAGACTTGTCCTTATGGTAGGGTTGCCAACTGTCCTGTTTTCCCAGGACATGTCCTAGTTTTTGTAGTGTCCTGGAATGTCCTAGATAGTTTTTAAGCAGTGTCCTGGGTTTTCAAATAGCGTGACGAAGCGAAAACGAAAACGAACCGATACTCGCATACATAGTACATACATTCGCTACGTTTTCGGTTCGAATCGGTTCGCAGTTATGTTTGACAAGGCCTTTACTGCGTCCTGTTTTTAAACTGAATTGTCCTTGTTTTTCCAACTTCAAATCCTAGTTTTTTTTTTAATTTTAGGTTGGCTATACTACCTTATGGATCTGCCACTCCGAAACCTACATACTAATTTCCCCATCGCCTGTCAGTTCCTCGAATTGTACGACCTATCCGATTCACCATGTCGGTAAAAGAGTTCGTGTAGATACATTAAATAAGGAGCTTTAATATCAAACATTGAATGTGTTCATGTGTTTATTTTATATAATTAAACATGAATTATTAATGGCATTATAGTCGCAGAAGTAATTATTGGGATTTCTGTGCCTATCTCAAAGGATGTATTTAATTATTTGATGTATGATTCTATCGCGGTCACGCGATTTTGCAACGATATATGAGTACATGTAACCTCTCAAGACGTAACGAGTATTTATACAAAAGGGTATTCGTATTTCGTAATCGCTGCATGTCCATGTTATCTGTTACCGGCTATTTTAGGTCTGATAATTATGAAGATAGGTTTTGAAAGTTTGACAATAAATTTCTTACTACAAAACCACAAATACTAAATTTAACCACCAGACCTCCATCTTAGTTACCATTAATCAGTATTGATAAATATAGATGTGCGTGCAAGAGGCAGAGTGGGGAACATTGGCTCATATCTGAATTCCTCACAACTCGTGACCTTTGGTGTACCTCAGGGTAATATCCTTGATCCGACTTTATTTTTGGTGTATATTAACGACTTGTGTAATATATGCATATAAGGTGGTCCAAAAACTTTAAATATACTGGTGTAAGTATGTTCTAAGCCTATGAGTGGTTTATTTACTTATGCTGATAATACAGCAGTTGCTTTTTCGGCCAGTACTCGTACTGGGAGTGAAAAATACCAACGAGCGCAAAAAGGATTTGACAGTGTTAGAAAATGACTCAACAATTACTAACTAACACTAAATTTAACCAAAACTAAAGTACAAAATTTTTCTATAGGAAACAGTTAATAATAATAATAACAGTGTATATTATAGTTAATACTTGATTACAAACCACCAACACTACAACCGACAATGTGTATTATTTAGAAAAAGACACTTCTATTATGTATCTTGGCATATTAATTGATCGTAATTTAACATTTAAAGAGTATATTGAACACTTATCTACTATAGTACGAAAGTTAATTTATATTTTTAAAGACATTCTGCCGACACATACATATAATATGTAACGAAAATTATTTACTATAGCCTATGGCAATCGGTACTAGGTTATAATACAGGTTTATTTTGCAATAACCAGCCAAATTTGCAGAGAATGTTAATAAGTAATATATGCAGAATAAGTAATATAGACAGAATTAAGCAATATAGTTGAAGAAAAATTAATTAAAAAAAGTCTATTATTTTATCTTTTAAATTCAAAATTATTTTAATTGATTTTACTACGCATTCGTAAGGGATGATTGGTAGGCAAAAACGTTGTAGCCCTTACATCACATTCAATTTGGAATAATTTAATATAAAAGTAGAAGCCTTATTTACTCGTATTTTAAAAAACTGCAATAACATTATATCACTATTTATATATTTGAACTAAAGTATAACATTTGGCTACTCATTGAAAAATAGCCCTATATAATTATTTACACATAATTTTACTAATTCATAACTTGTCAGTTAAATACTCTTGCACCGTTTAATAGTTGTCCAAGAATAATCGATGTAATCGGAACTTGAACATATGGTATATATATATATATATATATATATATATATATGAGGCATTATTTATGTCCCGTTGGTTCTAATTCTAATTCGCCGTGTAGTGGCGGTTAAGAATATCCACTACCCCATATCTTCCCGTGGGTGTCGTAAAAGGCGACAAAGGGAAACAGGCAGGAGATGGGCAGCAGCATCTTCCTGATAATAGCCAAAATAACAATAAAAAAAACTGCGGTTGCCAACCCGCTCGCCAAGCGTGGCAACTATGGCAATATACCCCCCATGAGCAATGACAATAATAAACGGCCCCCAGTCCCCGGCGGCCCCGCTATTCCTGGCTACGGTGGCGACCATGGTAACGGCGGGGCAGGGGGTGCTAAGAATCTCCGGTGGAGGTTCGGTTGCCACCTACGACGACTCGACCTGGCAACATACAACGCACGCACCCTGAGGACTGACGAGAAGATTGTGGAGCTGGAAGAAGAGATAGACAAGTTACGCTGGCATATTATAGGATTATCCGAAGTCCGAAGAGAGGGGGAGGACACGGTAATCCTCGAATCCGGCAACTTGCTCTATTACCGGGAGGGCGACCATCTGTCCCAAGGAGGTGTCGGATTTATCGTCCACAAGTCTCTCGTTAACAACGTTGTAAAGATTGAGAGTGTGTCGACGAGGGTTGCGTACCTTATACTCAGAATCACCAAACGGTATTCGCTGAAGGTCATACAGGTTTACGCACCAACCTCGGCACACCCCGATCAGGAGGTGGAGGAAATGTATGAGGATATCTCTAGAGCCATGCATTCCTCCAAAACCCAATATACGGTGTTAATGGGAGACTTCAATGCAAAACTAGGCACAAGAGAGAACGGTGAGCTGAAAGTAGGGAAATTTGGAATAGGGCAACGGAACCCAAGGGGCCAGCAGCTGGCCGACTTCATGGAGAAAGAGGGACTCTTTATGATGAACTCTTTCTTCCAGAAGCGGCCCCACAGGAAGTGGACCTGGTCGAGCCCCGACGGTTCGACAAAAAATGAGATTGACTTCATTATGACGACCAGACGACAACTGTTCAGTGATGTCTCAGTGATCGCGAGGGTGAAAACCGGCAGCGATCATCGAATGGTTAGAGGCACACTGAACCTAAACGTTAAGTTGGAGAGGTCTCGTCTAATGAAGTCAACGCTCCGTCCCCCTCGTGCTCTAATCCAAAGTCCCGAAACCTTTCAGCTCGAGTTACAAAACCGTTTTCAGTGCCTAGAAGACTGCAATGAAGTGGACGATTTGAATGACAAGCTCGTGGAAACTGTCCATGCGGTCGGAGCTAAGTTCTGCAAGACCCGCCGCAGAAGAACACAAAAACTCTCCGATCACACTCTTAATCTCATGGCTGTTAGACGGGAGATGAAGCTACATTCTTCAACAGATTTAACAGCATACAGGCAACTGAACAGACAGATCTCCAAATGCATGCGGCGGGACCTACGCAAATTCAATACAGCTCGTACTGAAGAAGCGATCGAGCGGAACCAAGGCTCCAAAGTCTTTGCCAGAGATCTGTCTGCCAGAAAGCGCCAACTGTCAAAGCTGAAGACAGAATGTGGCAGCATCGTTTCCGGGGCACCTGAGATTTTGAGTGAGATTGAGAGGTTCTATGGGCAGCTGTACACGTCATCGTTGGAGCCGCACGCAAGTGTGAGTAACGATCCAAGAGCGAGTCTTATCCGACATTATTCCGATGATATCCCGGACGTCAGTCTGAGCGAGATTAGAATGGCTCTCCAGCACCTTAAAAACGGCAAGGCCCCAGGCGAGGATGGAATTACAGCGGAGCTTCTGAAAGCGGGTGGAAAACCGGTACTTGAAGTCCTTCAGAAGCTCTTTAATTCCGTCCTCCGTGGTGGCATTACACCGGAGGCGTGGAGCAGAAGTGCGGTGGTCTTGTTCTTCAAGAAAGGCGACAACGCTCTCTTGAAGAACTACAGACCGATTTCCCTTCTGAGCCGCGTCTACGTGCTGTTTTCGAGAGTCATTACGAATCGTCTCGCGCGCAGACTTGACGACTTCCAGCCTCCCGAACAAGCCGGTTTCCGAAAAGGCTTTAGCACCATAGACCACATACATACCCTTCGGCAAATTGTACAGAAGTCCGAGGAGTACAATTTGCCACTATGTCTGGCGTATGTGGACTATGAGAAAGCCTTTGATTCCGTCGAAATTTGGGCCGTGCTGCAGTCCCTTCAGCGATGCCAAGTTGACTGTCGGTATATCGAAGTGTTGAAGTGCTTGTACAGTAGGGCTACGATGGCTATCCGAGTACAGAACCAGAGTACGAAACCTATCCAATTGCAGAGAGGTGTAAGACAGGGTGACGTCATATCCTCGAAACTCTTTACCGCTGCATTGGAAGATGTTTTCAAGCTTCTGGACTGGAAAGGATACGGTATCAACATCAATGGCGAGTACATCACTCACCTTCGATTTGCCGACGATATAGTCCTTATGGCAGAATCGCTGGAGGACCTAAGCACTATGCTCAATGACCTCAATAGTGTTTCCCAACGGATAGGTCTTAAGATGAACATGGACAAAACAAAGATCATGTTTAATGTCCATGTCACACCTATGCCGGTAGTTGTTGGGAACACTAAGCTCGAAGTTGTTGACGAGTATGTTTACCTGGGACAAATAGTCCGACTAGGTAAGTCCAACTTCGACCGAGAGGTCAATCGACGGATTCAACTCGGTTGGGCAGCGTTCGGGAAATTACGGCACATCTTCTCGTCAGGTATACCTCAAAACTTCAAAACGAGACTGTACACCCAGTGCGTGTTGTCAGTGATGACATACGGAACTGAGACGTGGTCCTTCACTGCTGGCCGGATGAGGAAGCTCAAGGTCGCTCAGCGAGCTATGGAGAGGGCTATGCTCGGAGTTTCTCTGCGTGATAAACTCAGAAATGAGGATATCCGCAGTAGAACTAGAGTGACCGACATAGCCCAACGGATTAGTAAGCTGAAGTGGCAATGGGCCGGCCATATAGCTCGAAGAACCGACAACCGATGGGGAAGAAAGGTTCTCGAGTGGCAGCCTCGTACCGGCAGGCGAAGTGTAGGGCGTCCCCCCACTAGATGGAGTGACGACCTGGTAAGATATGCAGGAAGTCGATGGATGCAGGTGGCTCAGGACCGTGCTTTGTGGCATTCTTTGGGGGAGGCCTATGTTCAGCAGTGGACTTGTGAAGGGCTGTAATGATGATGGTTCTAATTTAACTCCAATAGGTATTTGTTATTCTAGACTACAATATGTTAAAACTAGCGTTTGTTTGATGTATGACAAAGAGCTTATAAAACGTATGCCTATGTAAATATATTATATAAGCGTTTAAACAAATTAACTAATTATTTAATGTCAAGCAGTGCGTTGGTACCGATACAAACTATTATTGATTTATGTTTTTTTAACATTGTTGAACAAATCAAGTATGAATTATGTATGAACACTTTTGATTAATAGATTAAAAAAGGCAAAGAGGCCAATCTTTGTTTTGGTGATAATCGAAAGCTATTAATCTGAACAAAACAACTACAACTTACCATACTAACCACTTACTTTGCTTTGTCTGTCGTAACTCTGTAACGCTTGGTTTACTAAGGTTTTGTAACGTTATGTAAGATGAGAGTTCAAGTTAGAAATTCTATGCGTGAAATTTATAAAAACGGAAATAAATTCACGCTTAATTTTTCTATTCATTGCCTCTTTTATAATAACCATTGTAAATTAATATTTTTGCATTCATAACAGTCTACCTAAACTCTTTGCAGAACCAAGGTCTCCCCATAGCTTGCATCACAAGGGGAATATTTACCAAAGCTCACACATTCAGGGAGGTTGGAAACCGCAGTTTTTTTTTAAACATTTTGCGTTGTTATCAGGAAGGCGCTGCTAGCCGTCTCCTGTTTTAGTTTCCCTCAGATGTAGTTCTTTTAAGACATCCACGGTATGACATGGAGTAGTAGATTCACTTATGCCGTCACTACACTGCACGTATAATTTTTTTTCTTTTCGTTGTCGAATTTCTGTTCTTTTTTTAAATAACGTTACCCCCACACTAGGATTTTCTCAAGTATCGTGGAAGCAGTTTACAAACATAAATTGCACAAGGACAAACATTCACACCCGGAACAATTATTTGTAGGCAAATACAAACACTTTTTTGTTATTATTTATAAATATTTAACGTACTTTATTTTATTAATGCACATAAATGATATTATATTGTTTTTCATAGAACAAAGGAGACTGGAATATCACCACCGATGTCTCGAAATGAAAGTGATTTGGACCCGGCGGCAAAGTACCATGTCGTATCGCATGTACAGTATATAACGTAAGTTATTACTACATCCTCTGAAATGCAGTACGTTTAACATTTGAGCTTGTTGCAGGCCAAAGTTGTAAATGAGATTAGAGGTCATTAAAGGTCTGTCTAATCGAAAATAAGAAAGTGTATCTACATATTTTTAGCTAAAGAGCTAAACGTTTGGCCATTTTTGGGGTCATAAAGCGAAGCCGAAGATGTTATTACTGTGCTATTTTTTATTATAATAATAATATAATTCGTGCCTTTAAGTAAATCATATTATGAAAAAAAGGTTAACATAAAAAAATGCCAAAGGAAGGCTCAGCTTTTACGAGTATTATAATAATACTGTAATTCTATACACAACACTGATATTTAGCCTTTTCCGTATCGCTCATTTTCTACGTGGTAGAGCCATGCTGCAGCTATATTAGTAGTACAGTTGTAGCACGAATGGGTCGGCTCGACCGGGGAAGGACCACGCTCTCACAGAATACCAGCGTAAAATAGCAGCTTAACACTGCTGTGTTTCGTATGGTGAGTGTAGAGAACCGAAGACCGTTTTTACTGGACAAGAGGCATTCCATCTTAGTCCTCACGGGTGACAACGCATCTGCATTTTGATTCATAATCGAGGATAGATGTAAATGTCTAGGGGCCACAGTAACCACTTACCATCAGGTGGACTGTGTGCTCGTTTATCACCCTATCCTATAAAAAAAATCCCTGCGGGAAAATTTCCAATTAAACTATAAAAGTAAATCTATACTAAAATAATAAAGTATTTAATAAAAACATAGTTATAGTTTTGTAAATTATTAGTATTATGTATGTAAATAAATAATGTTTTTGTAAATAATATATTATTATACTATTCTTTATGATTAGATATCTAGTGTCGAACGTGTTGGAATTCCAAATTTTGTCGTCACTATGCAAAAGAGCAAACCACACGGGACCTTTGCACGATTGCTCTATACACGGTGTGCAGGAAGCGGGAAAACTGCTCAGGTAATTTTCCGTTCTCATTTGAAAGTCCTTGCAATAACAGACGCATAATTAATATGAAAGTCATTTTATTTCGATTATTTTAAAATCGAATAAATAAAAAAAAATCACAACAATAATATAGTTAAGATATGATCGAAAAAACCAGAGTTTGTTTGTTATTGTAATGTATGCAATTCATGTCCTTTCCTTTTGCGACCTGGTAAAAATAAACAACCAAATTATTGTTTACAGTGATGGAATGGCTCTCGGTGCCAGCGAAGGTTGGAGGAGCGTTCTTTACACAATGACTGGAGAATCAGAATTATCTACGAAAGGAATATTAGAATATTTTGCACCCCTCGAGAAATTTCTACGGGACGAAAACGTAAGGTTGGCAAGGATAAACGAAGATATGGATAAAAGTGCGCCTATAATTGTAGGGATTATTATGATTGTATTAATTTTATTAATGATAATACTTTACTGTGTTAAGAAGAGGAATGTTTGCAATAGATTTCTTTCTCTATGTGGACTCGCTAAAAACGGTTCCTTAGACATCGCCACAAATGAAATGACACAAAGCAAATCGAGTGAAGTCGTAGGAGTTAATGAAGAGAAGGTTTGATGCATGCGAGACTTGAAATATTATATTGTGAATAGTTTTAGTTAAATTAAAATTATCATTTTATTTTAGGTTATTTTAAATGTGCCACTGATTTGTATGTATATTGTTAAGTAATATTGTTGTGTTCTGTTACTACTTGGATGTTTATAAATTATTTCGTAACATATTTGAATAAATATAAAATTAAATTAACTTTCTTTAATTTTCATTACTATCATTATTACAGCCTTTTAGAAATCCACTGCTGAACATAACATTAACATGACTTGCCGTTATCAGCAAGACGCGCTCAATCCCTACCGGTTTTTAAGAATCATGTACATGATTACTTTTCTCAACTTTGATTCTATCTAGTTCATTTGTATATAATAATTATTCTCCTTTATTTAGTTACAATATTTGTTTATATGTATGGCACTTTTATGTTATATGTAATAGTTTTAAAGTATATATTTGTACTTTTATATATTTATATTTATAAAAATATATATTTATTTGTATATTTATACAAATATATATTAATAAGTATATATATATGTATTTATCTTATCTATATAGTTACTTATATATGTTATTTTGTCAGCAAACCACACACGTTCTTATTGTTTTCTTGCAATGCTGTCCATCCAAAGGTTGTCTGGAAGAGATCGCTCTTAGCGATAAGACCGCCTATTGTACCACATTTCTTTTTCTCATTTTTTGTTAATATTTTTGTTATTTTTTGGCGTACAATAAAGTGTTATCTATCTATCTATCTATCTAACATAGACCTCCCCCAAGGAATGCCGTAACGCAAAATCCGAATTCACCTACATCGTATTTTCTGCATGTCTTACAAGGTCGTCACTCCCTCTAGTGGTGTTCCGCATCAAACTCCACTTACTGATACGAGGCAGCCGCTCGAGCACCTTTCTTCCCTGTCGGTGGTCGGTTCTTTGAGCTGCATGACGGGCCCATTACCACTTCAGCTTACTGATGCGACTGATGCTGAACTCATATTAGAAATATTAGCAGTGCAGCTCTGGGCATATCAAACTACATGCCCAGCGCGGTGAGTATGAGCTAAATTCAACAAATGCGTCAGTTAGTATTCATTCAGGCGTTAGAAGTATATATAGCGTAGAAAGTATTATATATAGGGCTGTTCGCTGATAGATGTTTTATCTCTTCACTATTTAAATGGTGATGTAGCGTATGATGATTGCTACACCTTTAAGACGAAAATTAATTACTTTAATGGCATCATTTTGTAATTTTATTTACTGTATACAAATAACTCAGTAAAAAAAGAATTTAGAGGATTTCGTGATACACAGACACATACCTTACATAATCTATTCTCGATTAAAATAAATGCAAATATGTTGTTACTTCTGAGTTAGATGGAATGTCGTGTATTGAGACGTCCACTTCCGTTTAATATGGTCTAGGAAAGCGATGGCTGTCACATGCGTCATACTTGGGAATATGTACTGTTTGTGGGGGCCTGGTCCACTCGGGATCGCTATGCATTGATAAGTTTCAAATTATTACGGTCCTTTTTTGAAAGCATCATAAAATATGCTTTTGCACACATACAATTTTTCTGATTACTGAAACCCAATACAATTAGTATTTATTAGTGTGGGATATTTTAATAATGTTCTTATCCGGTTAGGATCGATATAACTTAAAAATAACATAAAAAAACAAAATGCAATAAAATATACATTTAACAATTATTATCATTGGATTATTAATATAGTCTTCTCATCTGATTCGGCTGTATAAATATATTAAAGAATTAAATTTTTAATTTTAATATTAAAATAAAAATACTAGTAATGCTATTAAACATTACTAATATTCCTTTAAACCACTTCTGGTAAGCTTAAAATGCTTGTGTTAGAAGTGGTTCACGACAGTAGTCGAATGGCGGATTCGAACCCACGACCTTTCGAGTTCACGGTCCGCGCCCTGCTATTAGACTACTGACGCTTAATAATATAAAAACATTAATAAAATAAATACATTATTATTATTATATTAGCCTGTACTGTCCCTTACCCAAACAGTTTCCTTTTGCTCCCTTCATGCATGAAGTCAAACTCGTTTCTATTAAGCGGGCCACGCCCGCGCCTTGCCGGTTCGCGCAAAATAAGTATCAAGTGATAATTTTAGCCCTTATCTCGTCTGACATGCGGCAAACATGTCAAGCCAGTCCCTTATAGGTAAAACGGCTTCACGTCGGTGATCTGGTTTTTGGAATACAGTATCATATTTCGAACGTAGTCTGCAAGTTTGACTCGCAAAATACTGCGTTTCATTGGTCTCTAGTAAACCTCGAGCGAGCTGAAATGTCAAAGAAGTTATATTTTGTCTTGTATTGTTGTTGTCTCAATGCCTCTGACCATAGTCTCTGACAATACATTACCCTATGTAATTACTCTAAGACATGACCTATGACCTGTCAGTCGTTTAGACCATTAAGGAGATTTTGGCGGGAACTTGACCGGCGTCGGTTTGCTGCTCCTGTATTATTGTTTAAATAATGGTTTGAAGTGGACTTTTATATGTAAAAGTGGTGCGATTTTGTATATTAAGTGTCCGCGCATGTGAACTATTAGTGGAAACTGCGAAACAAGTGCTCTAATGGTGATGTGATTCTCAAAATAAGGTGTCTGTCTGCTTAGGCGCCTTGAGATACCATCGCCAATCGTCAGCTGTCTGCTGGCTCAAGTTACCGTCAAAATCTCCCAAGGGCTGCACAATGTAACGCAGCAACACATTGTGAAGCAGTATACTATGAAGGATAATTATTATAATATATTGTAACTTCAGGCTCAGAAGGGCTAGATCCCAGAGCCGTAAAGCCAGTTATTAAGAAGATTAGACCATTAAGTTATATTCTCTTTGAGGTCAGTCGTCACGAGTGTCATCTTTGATTTGACAGCTTCCCGTGAACGTCAACGTCACGAGAAATGGTTATACTGCATACATATCTACATATTATATGTATATAATTATTCTAAGGCCGCGTTTCCACCTGCTGCAAGAAACACTCGCGGAAGTCACACATAAATTTGCAATACTGTTAACATATCGAATGAATTCATGCAATTTTTTTCTGAAGTAAATATTTCGTGAGAACCTCGCACATCATGTTATTGCAACTAATCGCGTCGCGAAGGTTATAACAGTTTAGTTTAAGAGTGTTGTTGCAGATGGAAACGCGACCTTATAATTTATTTGCCATATATATATATATGGCAATTATGGGAATATATATATATATATATATATATATATATATATATTCCCATAATTAAAGAATTGAAGAGAGTTGTAATACCTTAAAATAATAAATAAAAAAAATTATTTTTTTTTATTTATTATTATACAACAAACATGAACATCTATATGGATACTCGTAGCGAAAGAAACGGCCTGTGATATGGGATATAGCTAATGCATTCTATAAAGACAGATATGCTCACCAATAATGAACTACTCTCTATTGCCATTTTAAATCGAGTTTACTTCTTGTGAGATATACAAAACTAGACCGATAAGCAGCGAGATCTATCGCAAGACGATGTGAACATATTTAGACTTGCAATAAATTGCAATCGCAATTCGCAACAACTCGCCGCAGGAAACGCTTGACAAACGCCGTCGCGAGTGTGCTTAGTTTGCGTAGTGCGTAGTTAACATTCTGTAAGCTACTATCTGACAGTATTTCTACCACGGCGAACTATTCTGAAATTATTGGAGATTATTTTGAAGCGTTTTTATACGAAATATATATTATATATTATTTATACATAGTGCCAGCACTGTAGATGAGGCAGCACTCTCTGTTATTGTAACCACATCTTTATCTCTGACCTTATAACTATCATATTTCTCACTTCATCTCGGAAGTATACTTGTATAGTATAATAAGTACGTGACACAACAATGCAATGGGTCAATGACACCAAATCTAGAAACAAAATCAATCATTATTGATGTACTTTATTCATATACTTAGTAGCTTAAGAGACGTGGTAGCTCAGGAGCTGAGCGGTCGGTGTTAATAGTATGTATGAAAATAACCCGTGATAAGACAGCGCGACAGACAATTCCATGACCGTAGCATTGAGTTATGTGTAATATATAAATCAATGGCCCGAAGACCTTCTACCTCAGTGATAAGACGTATACTCGTAATGCACTAATGTAATGTATACATAATGCACAGTGAATAAAATAAGGATTTTGTTTTAAATTATATTCTCGGTGGTTCGAATATTGTAGAAGTTACATATGTTCATATTATGATAAAATACAACATACTATATAAATAATATGGTATATTTTTTACTCTAATCTTTTAGATTAGAGTTGTATGAGTAAATGAGTTCAATTCAAAAACTCCTTTGTGCCCCGGGCTGGAGTTTGCGTATATGTCAGAGAGGACATCTATTTTCGACGCCTCGACAGTCATAAAGGTACGGACCTGTCCATCCTATGGCTGCGCGTGGACAGTGACGACCATCCCCGCATCTACGGGTGCCTCTATAGGTCCCATAGCGGTAATACCAAAACAGACCGACTTATCGACCACGTCCAAATGACTACAGGTTCCTTGCTACAGCAGATCCCGTCCGCAGAGATCGAGATCGGGCTCGGTTCACATTCAACCGATCATGCCGGGAGATCTGTTTATGACTTTGCCTTGGCATATGGTCTTACACAGCTGGTTACTTCACCTACGCGGGTTCCAGATGTGGAAGATCATGCACCATCCCTGTTGGACCTTCTGCTGACCTCTCATCCGGACGGATATCAGGTTTCCGTCGACGCTCCTTTAGGGTCGTCGGACCATTGTCTTGCGCGGAGTGTGGTGCCACTCACACTAACGTCGCGGTTGCAGTCTGCAGGCTGCCGTCGTGTTTGACACTATAGGTTGGCCGATTGGGATAGGATGCGGTCTTTTTTGCATCCTACCCTTGGGTTTGCTTCTCGCCGGAAGATCCCAGCATTGTTGCTGATTCTGTTGTCAGATATTGGATTTTATTTTTAATTAATAAATATTGGTTTTTATTTTTATTAGCAATTTTCAGATGTATTCCGTTTTACTTAGATGCAAAATTTTAAGTTATTAACTCATCAGACTATCAGAAGTGTAACCAGAAGTGTCTAGGTT